AATTTACCTTTTTGGGTCCTTATGGAAATAACACCGGCAGTTATAGCCCAAGAGAACACATTAAACTGACAAAACCCACGATGATAGGCCTTTTTAGGTGTTCTTATGGCAATAACATCGGCATTTATAGCCTCAGGGAACACAGTCAAGCTCACACAAACAACGACGATACTCCTTTCTTTGAGTCCTTATGAAAATAACACCGACAGTTATAGCCTCATGGAACACAGTCTAAATGGTACTAAATGGAAAATGCACGAGTATACATTGACATATTTCTTAGGTAAGAGCTTCTGGCTTCATATTGTGCAAAGAAGACACTCGAATTCGCATTGGAATAAAACCAATGGTGTTCAAACGGTGTGCTCGGGCAAATGGTTATTTCTATACAATTTATATAGAGAAAGAACAGATCGCCGGAACAAAAAACGGCCATGTCATACGGAAATCTCTAGGACATATTCATTGGGTTAGGGATTTGGGATTTATATTGTTGGAAGAACACCCTCCAAACTTGTACAAAATTGAATCCACATTGGAATTAGACAAATGGTGATTAAACGGTTGGGTCGTGAATATGGTGTTTTTTATATTATAATAAAAAAGAACGAATTTCCGATCCGAACATATTTCTTGAGTTTTGGCTTTTGGCTTCATATTGTGGAAAGAAAACGCTCCAAACTTGTACAAAATCGAGTCCGCATTGTTATCGGTCTAAGGGTTTTTAAACGGTTGGCTCAAGAAAATGGTGTATTTTTTCGACAATACAGAAAGAACATATCGCCGTTTTAAAAAGCGACAATTTTATTTGGACCTCTGGATATTACTTTTTTACATCTCATGCGGATGTCTGTTTGGCCTTATATTGCTGTGAAGAATATCATCTAAACTGATAGAATCCACTTGATAATAACAATTGTTTTTTTTTGTTTTGTTTTTTCTTTAAGTATGTAGCGTTCTTTTCATAATAACTAAATGTGCATGACCTAAATTCCTTTAATTCTTATTAGCATGTTCTGTAAAGTTCGTTTATTTGTCGCACGACACTTACTGTCAGTTTTATAAAGTATGGAAAAAATGTAAATCTCAGGTTCAGAAAGATCTTGTCTCTAAGATGTTGCTCTTTCAATCGAGTTACGGTTATAGGGAGAAAAGAAAGAAAATCGACGGTCCAAAAACGACCATGCCACGCGGAAATCTCTAGGAGACATTTCTTGGGTAAGGGCCTTTGGCTTTATATTATTGGAAGAATACCCTCCAGCCTTGTACAAAATCGAATCTGCATTGAAATCAGACCAATGGTGTTTAAACGGTTGGCTCTGGAAAATGATGCTTTTTTTACAATTAATATAGAGAAAGAACAAATCGCCGGAAACAAAAACGGCCATGCCATGCGGAAATCTCTAGGACACATTTCTTGGGTTAGGGCTTTTGGCTTCATATTATGCACAGAACAGACTCCAAACATGTACGAAATCGAATCTGCAATGGAATAAGAACAATGCTGTTTTAAGGTTTGGCTCAGGAAAATGATGGTTTTTATACAGTTTACATAGTGAAAGCTTTTTAATCGCCGGAACCAAAAAACGGCCATTACATGAGGAAATCTCTAGGACATATGTATTGGGGTAGGGCTTTTGGCGTCATATTATGCACGGAAGACCCTCCAAAATTGTACAAAATCGAATCTGCATTGGAATCAAACCAATGGTGTAGAAACAGTTGGCTCGGTAAAATTGTGTTTTTTGTACAATTTATAAAGAGAAAGAACAAATCGCCGGAACAAGAAACGGCCATGTCATGCGGAAATCTCTAGGACACATTTTTTGGGTTACGGCTTTTGGCTTCATATTATGCACAGAAGACCCTCCAAAGATGTACAAAATCGAATCTCCATTGGAATCAGACAAAAAGTGTTTTAAGGGTTGACTCAGGAAAATGTTGGTTTTTATACAATTTATATAGTGAAAGTTTTTTTAATCGCCGGAACAAAAACGACCATGCCATGCGGAAATCTGTATGACATATTCCTTGGGTTAAAGCTTTGGGCTTTATATTGTGGGAAGATTACCCTCCCAAATTGTACAAAATCGAATCCGCATTGGAATCAAACCAATATTGTTTCAACGGTTGGGTCAGGAAAGGGTTATTTCAATACAATTTATATAGAGAAAGAACAGATCGCTGAAACAAAAAACGGCCATGCCATGCGGAAATCTCTAGGACAAATTCCTTGGGTTAGGGTTTTTGGCTTTATATTGTGGGAAGAACGTCCTCCAAAGATCTGCATTGGAATCAAACCAATGGTGTATAAATAGTTGGCTCAGGAAATTGGTGCTTTTTATACAATTTATATAAAGAAAGAACAAATCGCCGGAACAAGAAACGGCCATGACATGCGGACACATTTCTTGGGTTAGGGCATTTGTCTTCATATTATGCACAGAAGACCCTCCAAAGTTCTACAAAATCGAATTTATATTGGAATCAAACCAATGGTGTATAAACAGTTGACTCGGGAAAATGGTGTTTTTGTACAATTTATATAGTGAAAAGACAAATCGCCGGAACCAAAAACGGCCATGCAATGCGTAAATCTCTAGGACACATTTCTTGGGTTAGGGCTTTTGGCTTCATATTAAGCATAGAACAGCCTCAAAACTTGTACAAAATCGAATCTGCATTGGAATCAGACCAATGGTGTTTTAAGGGTTGACTCAGAAAAAATGGTGGTTTTTATACAATTTATATAATGAGTTTTTTTAATCGCCGGAGCAAAAAACGGCCATGCCATGCGAAAATCTCTAGGACATATTCCTTGGGTTAGGGCTATGGGCTTTATATTGTAGGAAGAACACCCTCCAAACTTGTACAAAATTGAATCTACATTGGAATTAGACAAATGGTGTTTAAACGGTTGGCTCTGGAAATTTGTGAATTTTTGAAAATTTATATAAAAAAGAACAAATTTCCGGTCCCAAAAATGACCTTGCCATGCGGAAATCACCTGGACATATTTCTTGGGTTTGGGGTTTTGGCTTCATATTGTGGAAAGAAGATCGTGCCACGAGAAAACGCCTATACATTTTGATTGGGTTAGGGCTTAAACTATCATTACATGCAAAGAAGTCCCTCCAAAATTGTACAAAATCAAATCGGCAACGAAATCGGACGAATGGTGTCTTTGCAGTATGTTCGAGGATATGGTTCTTTTTTCGAAAATTTGTATATTTCATATAGTCAGAATAACTCGCAGTTCCAGAAAAACGAACATGCCACGCGGAAATCTCCTGGACATCAACAACAATCCCAATATGCAAAGTATACCCTCCAAAATTGTACAAAATTGAATACGCAACGGGAACGACAAATGATGTCTTTGTAGTATGCTCGAGCATATGGCTTTTTTTCTATTTTTTTTTACATTTAATTTAGATGTAAAACGACTCGTAGCTCCAGAAAAACGACCATGCCACGCGAAATCTCCTAGACATATTGCCTGGGTTAGGGCTGTAACTATCTTTAAATGCAAAGAAGTCACTCAAAAATTGAACAAAATCGTATCGGCAACGACATCGGACAAATGGTTTCTTTACAGTATGCTCGAGAATATGGCTTATTTGAAAATTTATATATTTCATATAGTTAAAGAATAACTCGCAGTTCCAGAAAAACGACCATGCCACGCGGAAATCTCCTGGACATATTGCTTGGGGTAGGGCTTTGAAAATCATAATGTGCAAAGAAGACCCTCCAAAACTGTACAAAATCGAATCCGCAACGAAATCGGACAAATTGTATCTTTACAGTATAATCGAGAATATGTACGAAAATTTATACATATTATATAAATAAAATACAAATCGATGGTCCAGAAAAACGACCAAGTCACGCGAAAATCTCCTGGACATATTGCTAGGGATAGGGCTGTAACAATGTAGCATGTAGTTAACTAAAATGAGTAATTTTGTATCACGTATGTAGATCCATGTTCTATGTATATTGTTTTGTATATTGTTATACACATGAATTATTGTTTTAACTGAATCATTCTGTTTTTATTTGACTAGGTTTTTATTTCTGCTTTAACGTCACGTTCCTTGTAGCTTATAGATTGTGAGGCGTTGCGTCATTTCTCTTTTTTATAAACGTCGTTTTTTCTGGAAAAAGACTAACGTTAAAAACTTAGAAAAAGGTTGACCTGATAATATAATGGGAAAATACTGCAACATTCGTAATAATTATTTCAAATGTGTATAAATCCTCAGTTTGTCGAGAATATATTCAGTTTGCAGGTCAACTTGCCCTGATCAGTTTTACGTAATTATTTAAATACCGTGAGACCAGATAACATAATCAATAACTTAAATTGGGCCTATTTCTCCCCTACTGTAAAGTATTTGTCCGATTTTATTTTTTTTTTGCAAAATTTGAAAATCGACTTTTTTCCCCCGATACTCATGGCAGTTTTTCCTCCGATACTTATGACAGTTTTGTCGTAAATAAGAAAACTATTTTTCTTATTGAACATACTATTTATATCTGGGTTACATGACTATCAAGCAAAAGAAATTCTAAATGCGTAGGAATCATTTCATGTTTAAGGTACATAATAATTATTCCTTTCATAATTCATCTCAGGTTGCTTTTAAAATTCGCTATACCAAACACCAAGCTGGAATTTTTCATTAATAGGCTCCGTTTCTATATATAAAAGTAAGGCAATAAAAATATTTTGGTAACGTTGATTGAGAGGAAAGGTAGCGGGATGGGAAACAAACCATAATTTATCAATTATTATAATAAATCATTTGATTCAAACGTAACCGCTGTCGATCAGGAGTTTAATGACACTTTTTAACAGTGTTATCCAAATTGTCTATTATAACATGATGTATTTGTAATAACCTTATAATTCAGATGATATATTTCAACATACACGCACGGACCCTCGGGGTCGAACAAAAACAAATAACGTCACGCTGTCTGCACTGAGTTTACACATAACATGAAATAGCTGTGGTGATAGTAAAGAAAGGTGAACAAAGTTATTTTTAGCATCTAGTCATTATTGCCATTACATGTGTTAAACAGAATTATGCGATTAGGATGATTATGTTGTAACTTTGGTACGCATACAGGTTTGCAAATTTCATTTCAGTGACTTAGTTAAATGCATTTTTAATAGTGTAGATATATGCATTTTAATAGTGTATGTTATGATATAGGAAGATAGGATTTTCTTTTATATTAAGTGATCTTTTTCGGGGATCCTTAAATTAACCAGACTTCACAACATCGACGGATCCGTACGTGAACGTGCAATTTTAAATACAAATGAGCAAAAATTGAAATAAAGAACGAGCTTTGAAATAATAAATAAGAATTGAAACAATCTGCGTTCGACTCTCATTGACGTATCTACAATGTGCTTGATGCATTGAAAAGTCGAAAGTACGATGGTAAAAAGCCGAAATAACGAAACCAAGTACGATGGCTTACTACTATCGTAAATTGTGTTTTCGTTGTATCGAGTTTTGTGTGTCGTGATGACCCTAAAATCACATATTAGAAATGGCACACTGCGACTGTATTGTTGTTCGTTGATAAGGTTAAAAGGTTAAACTACGGACAGCGGACATATCTAAAAATAATACCTACTTTGTGTATGTCCTCCGAGTGGTTTACATTTGTATGGAGGCTGATAAACGCCATGTCGTATTTTCGCTTTATGCCATGCCGTTTATTCGCTTTTATTCCGCCACAAAATACGAAAAATGAAGGGATTAACAGTAAAATTGTTTGTGTTTTCCGCATGTTTACATGTTTTGGGTCGAAAATCCGAAAGGATGGCAAAAATACGTGCGAACATACGTCACAGAATTTATCCTTCTTTTTCGCTTACGATATTTCGTATATCATTTTTTACGCGGCAAAGAAACAACAACAAATAATAATAATAATGATAATAATAATAAAAAACAACAAAAACAACAACAAAAAACGCAAACATACTGTCTTGGTGCGACGTAAATAAAAATTGAAGTCGGCGACCGTAACTTTAGGAAAAAGAAAAGATTATTTTTAAGTATGCGAAAAAGCAACACAGAAAAATATTAATGAAAACAAAATAAGACACTTTATTTTCTACAACACCGTTTACCAATTACCATTCCATTAACAATACGGGTTGAAAGTTGTTATATCACTTCCTTTTATTTACTTCAAACTTCCATTCCTTTTGATTTACAAACGTTTATAGGGGTGTATATAAAGAGATAAATATTTTCATTTGACATACGTTGAAAAAAGAAAACAAGTGTTTGAATAATCTTATAATTTTTACATTCCAGTTTTGTAATAACCATGGATAAAGTTCAAGTCCCCGTCTTTTACAAATCGATGTCTGACCGTCTGTCGGTTGTTATGGATACAATAGGAGTGAGTGACTACCTCGTGTCGACCAGGCGGGACGCATACCTTAAACGAGAAACAATGAGGTCAATATTTTACCAGCTTAGTGGATTAAACATTAGGACATATCACTTTGGCAGTCAAACTGAAGGAACGACAACGATTGGGATGGACTCGGATTTAGACACTTTAGATTGCCAGCAAAGTTTTAACATGATAACTGATCATAACCTTAAGGATATGGAGAAAGAGAATATGTTTTTGATTCAAAATGATTTAACGCCCCCTGGTCATTGTCGCTTACACCAGATTGACTTTTCCACAGAATCGGACACGTACCCGCATGATGAATGTATTTTTGATGAAGAGAAGAGATTGATCCTTGAAAATAAGTTCTCACTGAATGTTGAAAAATCCGCTTTTGAATATCTAGGATTTTCAGAATATAAAAAACATGGTCCATCAGGGAGTCCGTTTCCTAATAAAGATATCGTAAACGGATTTCCATGCAAAACATGGCCCATTAAATCTTCTCTCTGGTTGGACCGTCCTCGAGCTGACCACTGGTTGTCACGTAAAGCAGTATCGGATGTCTTAAGCAGCGAGTGTTTCATCGTTTCTGTCGGCCATCAAAAAAGCGAAAACGAGCATGTGGAATGGCGAATATCGTTTTCGAAATCGGAAAGAGTGTTGTTGTTTAACATGAACAATATACAAATTAAATGCTATGTTCTGCTGAAACTCATAAAAAATGAAATACTTAAACCGATTGCTGGAGACAAGTTTACAAGTTTTCATTGCAAGATTACAGTTTTGTTTACAATAGAGAGATTACCAAACGGATTTTGGGTACGGGAGAATCTTCTATCGTGTCTGTATATGTGCTTAAAGACGCTTCAAATGTTTCTAAAATCAGGCCACTGTCCTCATATTTTCAATCCGGATGTTAACTTATTTGCAGGAAAGATAACTCTGAGTGTGCGATTGAATTTGTTACAATGTATCACTAACCTTATCAATGATCATGCAAAATATTTATTATCTATGAAAAGTGATTCTCTTGGAACGCTTCTTACAGTATTAACAAATACACTCAACTTTCTGCTGTTGCTTAGCACGTGTATTTCGAATGTATCCATGGAAACAGAGAAATGCATCATTGGAAAACTTATTTATGACAAACATGTTTCACTTTATGGGGATATTTTTTCTATTCTGTCTTACACAATCAAACTTGAGCACTCCGTGCAGGATTTTATTCGTACTCTAAGCAACTATGTGAAAAAAGCAAACGACTACTTTGTGCACGGAATTCCCGACGAGAAGGTATCAGCTAAACTGATCATGGCCTATCTAAGACCGTTTATTGCTTCGCTCTTGGTTGCAAGTAGTGGAAGAAAGACCCCACGGGGTGTTTATTCATTTGTGAACTTTCTTTTAACGCTTATGGATAAAGTATTCTGCATCGACGTAGCATCCAGCAAACTTAAACTTGCCACGTTGTATTACGTTAAAGGTGACATCAAAAAGACACGGACTATTTTAAAAACGATTGAAAAGAAATTTGGAAACTATGTTGTGCCGGTTTGCGGCAATTGTGACTGTATTGAACATCCGGGCAAGAAGTTTGTGAATGTCGTGAATAACTCCGCAGACGATAACACGGTGTACACGTGCATTTCAAACTGTGTGACATTTTTACGTCAGGAGTATAAATGCTGCCCTTTGGCGCTCCGATACGAAATGTTTCGATCAACTACAGAAGACGCTAAGCGGAAAAAAGTGGGAATGCATGAATGGATGGACATGGCCGAAATAGACGCACAACCTTCTCTTTACTTCATGCAGTTTTTAGTATATAAACGCTTGGGTGATGAAGATCGGCAGTATGATGCCATATTCAAGTTAGCGTCTCTTTTACAACAGAATTCTCCTTTGTATCATAAAGAAACAGCTTTCAACCTTTTAGGTCAGTGTTGGGAATTTAAGGACAATCAAAACTTGGCATTGATATGTTATGACGCATCTTTACGTCTAGTTGACGTCAACAATGCAGCGAAATGGCACCTTTCGAAATTGGTATACCGTGCACTACGCAAGTCCGGAAAGATTAAAGTTTCTCAACCGGATACGACCGACGGGAGATGTTGTTACTTGTTGTGAGGTACCAGCGGGCATTAAAGCAACATGCCTCCAGATTCGGCTCATTACATGAAAATTTTTAAAAGCAAAAAACATTGTGAAATATACAAAGATAGTAATTTACGCATTGCAAACGGCACTAACAATCCTCGTTATTTACCAAAAAAGAGGTCAAAACATGTAAAATTAACCCTTACTTCGCTAGTCACGCAATAGAAATGTGGTGATTTATACTGCAAAATCATTCATTAATCACTAACAGCATGTAAATAATACTTTAATCTTGAATCTTTATAGTTTTCTTAAATTTTAGCATAATTTCTCAAGTTTAATTATCTTGAGGTATTTTGCTCATCTTGAGGTATATACAGCTTAAATATTAGAGAGGTTATACGTTTTGTTGGGTGTGTTTTTATAATTTATTTATTAAAGATTTGGCAAGATGTGTATGCTGGTGCTTAGCTGATTATATTTTACTTCACATTCTAATGGCCTTCCACGAAAGGACTGCTACTAGTGGTGTGCAATATATCGCGATATTTGATACCGCACTATTTTATCTGGCAATATAATATATCGCGATTTATAAAATCTATTAATAGCTTTGAAATGCCTTTCCCTGATTGGCTAACAAGCGACTTTTTGTAAAAAATAACAGGTTAATATCAGAGTATAGTTACTGTTTTTTTTTCCCTAAAAATAGATTTTCAAGGTATATTCTTAAAATAGATTTTCTGGAAATCCCCCGAATGATGCGAGAATATGACGTGATGCCACGCCAAGTTTGTTGTTATTATTCAGAAAAAACGTTGAGTGACTCGTAAATAAGAGTCAAATTAGCCTATTTTAGTAACCGTGTTAACATTTTAAAGAACAATATATAAATAACACATGGGTTTGTGGGTAACAGTAAAAATATCATCCCGAGGAAATACTGTTATCCGAGGCGTACCCATGTGTTATTTGTTTTATTACCCCGAACAAAAATACTGTGATGATCTGAAATTGTCAACTAAATCTAACTGAAACAAAAATAAACCAAGAGTAACAATAACTAAACTGTTCATCTGTCCAGTTTGCTTGGTATTATTTCTAATAAAAGCAGGAAATTGGTCTCGTACAATTCAGAATAGAAACAAAATAGGAATATGAAAAACAAAACACACAATATCACTTTGTGTTTTGTAACTATATTTTTGTGACATTTAGGCCAATTAAGCCGGGTGCATGTTTACGTAAATTTGTATCAGTATTGTAACAGATATGTATATGGTCAGATAATAAAATACTAACTTTACTTTACTTGACTTAACTTTACATTGCAATACATTACATTAAAGTAAGTACAGTACATTACAGTACAGTACAGTGCAGTACTTGCTGTGCAGTGGAGAGCAGTACAGTACCGTGCAGTGCAGTACATTACAGTACTAAATGTAATAGATTAGGAAAAGGGAATACATGTAACACAAAACAGTTTATCTTTACAGTTTTAATTGAAATATCAACAATAAACTTATATATTGGAACAATAAAGTAAAATTGTCTGTTGTATTCTGTTTACACCTAAATAAAATGAAACATTAAAATATAATTTCAATATTCATCATTTATTTCTGATATAAACTAAATAAGTACACGTGCAAATACCGGGTAGCTATAGCTCATATATATTTCGGCGAGTGAGGCTAAAAAAATGTTGGGGCACCAAACTAAATACCATATTGCGGTATATGCCGGACATGGCGTTACCTGCCAAAATGTACTTTAAGACGGCTTATTCGTCTCCTCACACGGTTATGAATGAAAAAGTTAAGAATCGCCGATCATTTTTTCTCGGTACTTTCTAACACTGGAGTGAATTGAATTGGTGAAAAAGTCTATACCATTAGCACTACATTTCTACACAATACTGTAAAATATAACATTGATAACTATGAATACTGATCCTAATTGTACCTCTTTACGTGGCAGAGGAAAGGGAGAGAAACTAGTACGGTAAGATGCATAATAATTCAAACACAGTTGTCTTCCTTTTGATAATTGTCATATGATTATGAACCGCGTCAATTAGAACAGAACAGAACATATCTGTACATAGTACATAATCATATGCATAATTATTTTCAAGTAACATGTACTTTTCAGTGTCAATACTAACAATTGAACCAAAGAAAAATATGCTTTGCATTGGAAGGAATTAACGAAAATATTAAATTGGTTTCTATAAACACAGTAATAAGAATTAATGTACTGTTTACTTTTAAAATTAATAATTTACTTGATTTAGATAATCTTTTTCACGATATGATAGAATAAATTTAACCATTAACTTACCGCGTACTGTATGTGAAGAGTGACGGAAAGGGCCGAACAGTTGCCATTGTAGTACGGACAGAAATAATTATAACTTAATGATTAACATAACATATAAATTCAGATTCATTAAAAAGTACAGGTATACTTATACAAATAAATAAAAAAATAACATTTATCTCACTGCACTAGCTCGTTCAGTATAAAATCACTTAAAATCACTTTTAAGATTACGACTTTCCAATTATATAGAACTTAATGAATGAATTAATCAATTTAGTTAAATAAAATTCACCCATTCACCTGAAATATACAATGTCAACAAGTCATATTGAAATATAATATATCTGTATAGTGAAATCATATTTTTTCGAAATAGCGTTGATCTATTTATAATAAACGTCGTCTTACCTAGCCCTTTTATGTAAACATGGATTATTCCGTAATCCCTTCCCCATTATAAACAATGGTTTATACGGCACAAAAAATGTTTATGAAAGAAAAAAGTTAAGGAGTGGGCATTCATTCAGAGTATCTTACCCAAAGTCATCGCGCTATCAGTTATTTATAATTAGTATCGGATGACAAGATAATGGCTATTTATTACCTGTTCGAATCTGTTTAAGACGACGTCTAATCAATGAATGAATCAATCAATCAACCAAGATCGATCAGTCGACAAATCAATCATTCAAAAGACCAATCAATCAGTTAATTGAATAAATAAATAAATCAAGCCAGTATCTGTATGGTCATTAATTGATGAAAAATAGCTTTTTATTACCTAGTAGAATCTGTTAAACACGTCTAATCAATCAATCAATCAATCAATCAATATATTAATAGGCATATCAATCAATATATCAATCAAACAATAAAAAAGAATCTGTAAACAAAAATCAAACTATCAACAATCAATCAAATTAGCATTCATTAACATATACCATAAATGATTTGTTTTGGTGTACAAGATACTGTAGGTTGTCAGTACAATATGAATGTCACGTGCATTTAGATATCTATATCGTAATCCCTTTTTAAAAGGTTTTTAATACATTATTAATAGACCTATTTATTGCGCCTTTTTATTATACGATATGAATGTCACGTACATTCATTTAGATATTTATATCGAAATCCCTTTCTAAAAGGTTTTAATACATTATTAATAGATCTATTTATTGCGCCTTTTTATTTTTTTGGTAGTCTGATGTAAAAAAAAGTTTATGCAACATGATATTAAATTGGGAATATTATCGTTAACACGTAATACAATGCATGGCCTTATAAAGGCGAAGATCACTCGTTGAATTCACATTAATTAAAGAGTTGCCTTATCGAACAGATAATTAATGAAAGGATTTTAAATTACATAAAACTTATATAGACATTTTATCATAATGAATAATTGGACAATTATTCTTATGCTTTTCATGGCGAAACTGACACTTTCGCAAGCAGGTAAGATTTAATTTAACTTCATTTATTTCTTTTAAAGAATAAATGTTTTTATTTTTTATATTTAAGTCGACCTTTTAATATAGTTGTTTTAGCTGTTCTGAATGAATTTTTGTTTCGAAAGTAAACCGACCAATATTATATGTGAATTTGACACTCTCTATTTTTAAATAAATTTCACCAGACACATAAAATCATCCCCATATAGCATAGAATATTGATTATTAGTTCAGTAATAGGCAAATAGCTTTTGAGTCGAAGTCACCCGGGTTCGAGTCTGAAAAAGAACACGGCTACTTTGATTAAAAAGTACAGCGCATTGGGTGAACTTGTGATTGGGTATAGATAGGGGAAAAAATTCCGATGGATTTATTTCAGTAGCCCCTTGACAATGGGTTAGGCCTTTTAACGTGAATTAGACATGAATGTTCTGCAAGAGAGGACATAAAATATTGAACTGACTAATTTATTGAAAAGGTCTAAAATTTTTGTTACATATGCAGTACGTATATGTATTTAATCAAGATCATTTTATAGTAAACGTATAGTAAAAGTAAACATAAGATCCATTAATATATGATTACTGGCTGGAAATTCCGATTTTCTATTTTTAACAGTTGGGAAAGCCAGGTTAAAATAAAAGATCATATATAGGTTATAAAATAGGATACTATTGTACAATAATAAAGATAATGATCCAAATTATAAATATAAGAGCAAATAAAAGAATTGAAATATATTTTCTTATTTAATGCGAAACTGACACAATAACAAATATTGCTCGATAATGAATTCAAAAATCACCTTTGTCTGGTGAATCGAAAATATACTGTTTATTCAATTTATTTTTGTTTTGTTTTTCTTTCAGATTCAAACCATACTTATTCTGAAGATTATCCCGAAACAGAAGACCACGGAGCAATACTGAAAGACTATTCCCACACCAAAAATATCATTGCGGCTGCTGTGATTTGTACAATTTGCTTTGTCTTGTTGGCAATGTTACTTGTATATTTCAAACTCGGGAGGAAAAACATTGCATGTTACACTAAGGACGACCCCGCTGTCAAAGATGATCAAGATTTTGAGTTAAAAGAAATTTTCGTAAGTTATACAATTAAGCTATTTAAATTTTACTATATGGTTTTATGAAACATTACGCATATATTTTTATTAATATCATATTTACACCAAATGTTTCGAACCTTTTTCAAAATAGTACTCAGTTGGTTTATACTGTGACCCATCCAATGAAAGAACAAAATATTAAAAAGCGGCTTAATAAATGAAATAACAATTCTTCTTCATTATGTGCAACAATTTTCATCTACCGACTGGCGATTTCGGTGGCGTTAGATATAGATTATGTCCTTAGATAGATTTAGAAATAATGACATTGACCTTTACAATCTTAGGTTATAAAATGTGATAATTTTGTCCTCTTTTATAGATTACAAATCAAGTTGAAGTTGAAGGTGGGAGCGACACAGTTTAGATCCAAACGTGATGGGATACGTATCAAGAGTGGACGGTGCAGGGATTCGGGGTTTGGGGAATCGAAATGCGACATTACCTAATGATCAGCAGTTGATCACAGCACAATACAAAAATGTATTACATTACATTACACAATATAATGTTTAAAACAACATCGAATTATCACAACTTTACTTATTGTGTGTAATAAAAATACAATTCTGACAACGAAACCATGATATTTAAAGTATGTGCTTACAAGATGTCAGTTGAAAATGCGTCTGCTTATTTTTGACATATTTTTCACAGTGATGGCCCCCGTTTATTATGGACGGTAAGATATTAAATGCCTCAAAATGACCATAGTACTATCGATATATGGACAAAGCTACACGCACTTAACATGAAGTCGTCTTTCGTCCAGACCCACCCACCCCTTCACCACAAAGCACCAGCTGAAGAGGAACTTAACAGTTAAAAGTGTTCACATGTGTTTGGCGAAGTAAAACATATTGATTAACGAAAGATAAAGATATGTTAACACATCATAAATTTATATCAATTTATCATTTTACGAGTTTCAAGTTTATTGGAATAGTCAATATTTAGAAAGGCTGTTTAAATGTCTTAGAATTGAATGATAGGAGAATGTTTTTGCTTGTTTAAACGAAGTTGTGATATATAGACTTAATAAAATAAACAAGAATAAAAGTTTTTTTTTTATTTTCTCATTTCTTTCATCCCCTACCAGATAATCTTTTAACTCTTTACATGCCTTGTATATTGCCTAATTGTTTGCAAAGCTGTGTATATTTATGCTCCCCGTAGGGTGAGCATATAGTCGACCCTTTGTCCGTCCGTCCGTCCGTTCACTTTTCTTGTCCGGGACATAACTCTGAAACAACAAGAGGTATCAGCATGAAACTTTGTAGGTAGATAGATCTTATTTGGATGATGCGCAGTGCACAAGAACCATAACTCAGCCTTGCCTAATTTTGAAGTTATTGCCCATTGTTCATTTTTATACTTTGAACTTAGTCCAGGACATATATTAACTTTTAAACTATGAGAGATATCAACGAAGATATATCTCATTGGGTAAACGTGCAGTGCAAAAGAATCGTAACTCTGTCTGCTTAATTTTGGAGTTATTGCCCTTTGTTCATTTTAACACTCTGAACATTGTTCAGGACATAATTCTGACAGTATAATAGATATGAACACGACACTTTGTAGGTAGATAGATCTCATTGGGTAGATGTGCAGGACAAAAGAACCACAACTCCGCCTTGCCTAATTTTGGGGTTATTGTCCTTTGTTCATTTTTACACTTTTCTGTGTCAAACCTTTTCGGAGAGTATCACCCGATAAAATCGGCTCTTGTGTTTTTATGACACAAAAACTAAAGAAAGAAAACACAAAAAACGTTCGTTTTGTCACGTGTTGGTTTGAGCTTGACGCTTCATTCGCCAGTCGTAACATTGCGGCACTTTCCGCTTTATGGTTTATCTACTCATACCGACTACGGTCAAACTGATATTAGTCATCGAGAACATGATTAAAATATCATGTGCACTCCGACTTTAGGAATCCCACTACAACATGTATATATTTCTCATCATGCATGTTTACAAACACCTAATGTTTTGACTGTCTATCCGTTTAAAATAACTCAAGATTATTATCTATGAAGGTCAATGTTTACATTCCAGTTCGTTTAAAGGAGTGTAGAGTAAATGTAATACGCGTTAAGGAATATCTGAAGGGAACAGGAAGTTAAAACATTGATTACACTTTAAGTTTCAGTAAAAACTTACGGATATTTTAGTTATTGGTGAAGATCTAATAGAGAAGTTGAAGACTAAAGTAATATAGTTACAACGTTACTGACAAGGTGTGCATCATCTAAATACCAAAATTATTGGTACTCCAATATCCCCTGGCTGGTAATTGAGCAACAAATCGATGCAATATGAATTTAATGATCAACATTATTTTTTGTCAAATCACATTGTAGTATTTTTCAAATTTTTGCTAAGTCTAATTTTGGTTAATGTGTACTTACTAAATAAAATTTACATAATCTGTCGTCTAACCAGTCTAACAAATTTCAATAATGCATTATATTAGGGAGGAGTTAGAGGTGTGGTTTGCACTCTGAATTGTAAAATATCTAGGTTAGCAAAGCAATGCCAACCTAAAAAAAATTAGGCGAGGTCAGGCGTTTCTAAATGTGAGGATACAATCAATTGATTTATTACATAGATAATACATGTGGGGCATGCAGAGACAAATTATTACATAGTAACTTTTTTATATCCGTTAAACTCTAAGAAAAATGTCTGTTATAAATTGCTGATTGTTTTAAACTTTATATTTTCTAGAAAAAGTAACCAAAACAATTTTTTTTCACTTGATAGGAATGAACTACATTAACAATCCTTGATATTAAGAATACAATGATTACATTTTTGGCTGAAAAACTCATTGAAAATGGACCCCTCCATCTGTAAACCTAAATTGACACACAGAAAAAATGAACTGTTTTTTCAAATCAGCAAATCAATAGGGATTTTAAATGTTAGTGAATAACTTGAAGCTAAGTATAGGTTAGTGTTTAATAATACGTACATGTATTAACAAAAATAATTGGACAAGCCTCCCGCAGGCAGGTGACCAATTATTTTTGTTAATATGTATTATAAAACATTAACCTATTTAATGATCAACACTATTTTTTCAACCAAAAACAAGGCATTTCTCACCGATAGCTCCGCCCTTTCGCTCTACAAGATTTCTACACTTTGTCAAGTTTCTAACATTTCACATTTAGATAAATAAATGGCCCTTTCAACATATAATCAGGCACATTTTTTACTGAAATGTCACAGAATTTATACCTTTATCTACAGATAGACTATCCTGTTTCTATAAAATATATGGGGGAAGGAAAACGATGCAATTAGGTAAAAACAATGGAGTAAATGAAATGTGTACACCCTTTTAAAATAAATCAACTCCATTGTTTTTACCTAATTGCATCGCTTTCCTCCCTGTTTTTTCCAGATATTTTATAGAAACATGATAGTCTTATTGTAGATAACGGTATAAATTCTGTGACATTTAAGTAAAACATGTGCCTGATTATATGGCTGAAAGGGCAATTTATTTAGCTTATTTAAATGTGACATTTTAAAAACATGACAAGGTGTAGACGTCTTGTAGAGTGAAAGGGCGGAGCTATCGGTGATTTAGAGAAATGCCTTATTTTTGGTTGAAAAAAAAATAGTGTTGATCATTAAATAGGTTAATGTTTAATAATACGCATTAAGAAAAATAATAGGTCGCCTATAATAGGCTTGACCAATTATTTTTGTTAATACGTATTATTAAACACTAACCTATACTAATTATTTGTTCGTCAAAACAGACTACAAAACGATATTGAATGACAATCAAGTGACCGTAATAAAGCAAGAAACAAAGAAATCACTGAGAATGAGTTTATTTATTACGTGTCAGCACTGTCTATGTATTAATAAGACACGTGGTTCAATTATTGGTTTGCTTTCCTAGGTTTGGCACTGACTTAAGCGTATCAGATCTGTCACAGTAGAAAACGAGCATGAGTATATAAAACGTAATGGAATTTTCGTAACGTTTTCCCCTCAACTGCGCAGATCTAAACAGACACATTCGTAAGGTTATCAAAGTACACAGCCGACCATTCCTTCGCAGTCATTTTATGCGTGCGTAAAACCTCAAATACTATCTTCATGTCCGCAGCGTGAAACACTATAGAGTGTAGGCTCCTGAGGAGTTAACAATATTCGGAATATTTCTCTTAAAAGAATGATCACTAGGAGTGTCTTTCACGAAAAGAAACTAAAAAAGGCTCAAAACACACATACGCACGTACACACAAACCAACACGCACCAACACACATACGCACGCGCTCACGAACGCACGCAGCATTTTTAGAAATGCAAATACTTGGTCCTGACAAATATTAAGCAACAGTTTTTTTTACTGTTAACGCACGGATGATACTTCTCGATTATTGTTATTATTTGTTTTTTGTTTGTTTGTTTGTTTTTTTCTCTCTCTTAAAAGAACTATAAAACTGAGCACGAATCTTGAGCCGTGCTAATTTCTTTATCTAAAAAGATACGAAAACATACGGGTATGAAGTGTGAACTATAAACGATATCTTAAAATAGAATCAATGTAACTTGTATGATTTAACTTGTACACGCGTACGTGTAAACCCGTTACATAAAATGTTATAAAAATACGCGTATTGAAAAGTGTATTGGTATAGATTGGCAAGATGTCGACCCTGGAAGCTGCGGGCCTTGTTCTATTGTTTTTGCAGTTTCCGCGACCTGTTATAGGCCAGAAAACTCTCTCTGGTAAGATTAATAAACTATTTGAAATATTACTTAAATGTTTTTTGTTAATGAAAATTTATTGTAAATTTAACACTGAACTTATCTAATAATAAAATATTTGCTTTTTTGCAGGTGTAGACTAAGAGAAAAGGGTCCAAGAATCCATTATGATGAGTTGTCCAGTTATGTCTTAATATGGAATTTAATCAAATGAAATTACAAATAAACAAAAGAATTTTTGTAGCATCTGATTGGAATTATTCAGTGAAACAAACGTATATTGTGTGATTTGTTTAACCAATCGATGTAAGGGATGTGAATTCCAGACCTGAAATGTGTAAAAGTTAATCTCATTGCGGAATAAAAAGTGTCTTTGGGGGGATTCGAACTCAAAAAGTCAAGTCAAAGGTCATTATTATCCTTATTATAACCATTTTCATTATTTATGAATTATCATTAGAAATTTCTTTTTTTTTACATATCCATAATCAGATATAAGATTTGTAAACAGAGATCCATAATTAAGGTGATTTCGCTTTGTCAGCCATGTTTGTCTTCACTAAGTGGGCCCAAAGTGAAAAAACTTTGACCTGACCTTGAAAAAAACATGGCCTCCATGCCATGTGTAAAAAAGTAGTACCAGAGCAATAAACATCTTTTATCAATTTCTTGTGTACACACTTCACTGTTACACAATAGAAAGGTTAAATTTTAAAGTTTGAACGTGTTTTCATTTTAATTTTAGTTCATAAGGCTATAAATGGTGATTGACTTCTTGCACTACTTTTTTACAAACAATAATGGAGGACATGTGCTTAGAAGGACATTTATTTGGAATTAAGTTTTGAAAGTTTTTTTGTAATTGCTGCAAAAAGTAGCATTTGTCTGCACTAAAACAGACTTTAAACTGGATTTTGCCATTCATGAAATGTGCATAAAACTTTGCAATAGATTGTACTTGGTCTTCAGAAATGAAGCACATTCAAGGTAAATATTCTTATTGTTGTCATTTTAATTTTTGTTTATAATAGTCATTAAAACATAGACCTGGAAGTGTACTTTCAAATGGTTCATAATTTTACATTGTGAGCTTTAATGTTATATGAATTTTGGCCTACTTTCACTTTGGGCCCACTAAGTGAAAACAAACATGGCTGACAAAGCGGAATCACCTTAAGTATGTCAACACATAATTTATTATATTGTTAATTTCTACTTTAACAGATTTTCAATATTTTCAAAACAATTTATCGTCTTTGTTTTGTCTTTCTTATTAATACATAAAACATTTACTATAACTGACAGATTTAATATATCAAATGACCTCCGATACGTGTAGTTTATTTTTACTCATTTTATTTTTTTAGACACCGTTTATTTTTAGAAGTTTATTATTAGAATCATTTAAGTTTATTTTTAGAATCATTTGTCGTACCCTTGACAAACGAGTATATCTAAGACAATGAATATTTAAAATTCGGATACACAATGTATATATATTTAAGATTATACAGTATGTAAACTGCTTAATCATTGCTTAATCATAATACAAATACAATTTACTCACGTGAATCGAAGAGTAGTTGGATAAATTCCGATTATTGATTTTAAGATTTGCCATGAAAAAAAATCAAATTAAAACAACAAAATGGAGTTTAAAAAAGATATAAAAACAAACAAACAAATAACAAAACAACCCCCCCTCCCCCCCCCCCCCCCCCCAAAAAAAAAACCAGCAGTAATAATAAACAAACAACAAAAACAACAACAGCAAAAAAAAAAACGAAAAAAAACCCCAGAAAACACGTAATCTAAAAAAAACTATCAGCACCAAACCTTAAGGAATGTTACATATTGAGTGCTTATCTTGTCGCAGGTTCAATCAAATGTTTGTTTAAAGACATCAAAACCGCATCAGTTGAAAAACGGAATGTCACATGAAAACATGGTTTAGTACAAACCAAGTGACCATATATTAAGTTGTGTCATTATTTTCTTTTAAGATTTGATTGCTTTATTGTAGAATGCAAAGCTGTATATGGTTTGGTTCTTCTGGACTCGACCAAGAATGTCAAAGAGGAGGGCAGACAGCTAATGGTATCATTGGCTAACCTGATAACATCTTCTCTACCTGACCACAGTGTTTCAAGTATTTACCTAGTCGATGACAAATACACCAAAGTTGACAACTTAGATGGTGTATTGAATGTGTCACCTAGTCAAAGTAGCAAGATTACCGCTTCAGCAGTGAAAGCAGCTATTGTTGACGCTTTCCCTGTACCCTATTATCCAACGAAAGCAGAGATAATCTTCATTTTCACAACGGATACGACAGTAATTGATATACCAGATATTATTTTAAAGAAAAAAACGTTTGTTATAGTTGTTGGAACATCTATACCATCAAGTGCAATAGACATCGCATCAAGCGCAAGTCACGTTTATTTAGTTAAACCTGATGGAGAGGACATTGTAGAAGTTGTAAAGGAGATACAACAGCAGACATGTAAAGGTAAGATATTGATAGTAAGAATGAAATTGTTGACTTCCCGAAGTTCCTTAAAGAAACCATTATCAATCTTGGGGATAACATAGAGGACATATGAAGTTTATCAGACAATAGTATGAAGTTTTATCAGCGAATAGAAACTATATAGTCTAGTATCTGGGGGTTCTGTGTGCATAAAAGGTTTCCTAATAATGTTTGCAGAACATGTTAGAGGACTATCTTAATTGTAGGAATATGGAGCGTAAAAGGTTTCTTAACAGTTTTTGCAGGTTGTAAAGAGAATATTTAAATTGTAAGGATATCGAGGGTGATAGCCTAAAATAGTGTGGTTTGAAATTGCAGGCTGACCTGGTTCTATACTTGTGGCAGACGCTAAATCACTTTTAATTCCAACTGAGAGCGGGTAAATAAACTAGAAGGGAATTTATATGTGTTTTATGGCTCCTTATATGCAATTATATGATGAGAATGTATAAAATGTAACTATAACTCTCAGAAATTGTGTCACCGGAAGTTTACGGATTGACATTTTTCCTGTTGTCGTTCTTATACACTTACTATGCCACAATGTATTCCTGTTACCTTTTTGATGTCATGCTTATATCAATGTCTTTATTTTCAGATTCCTACTTTTTGTGTGATGTTGACAAACATAAAGATAACTACCAGTATTCTACGTGCGTTAATTGCCTTGATGTATGTTCCGAAAAACGAGTTCGAGAAGCAGACTGTCCTTCTTGCCCATGTAATTATTAAGCTTTTTTCATTTTATATAAAAATTGTTGTCGCCAGACATGTAACCCCTTCATACCTTAGCAAAATATTCCATTCACATAGTTTGAGATTAGGAGAGAAAACTATCAAATCTGTATTCGCGCATAGCGTTATTGTATTACTCTCATTCGATTATAGTTAGTTTATTTGATCGTCCGAGAACTAACTCTCGCCATTTTGTCCTCAGATATGCGACTTCCACCGAAGGTACAGGAAATAAAACACGGACCAAGCACTGATGATAGTTACCCTGTAACATACATAACGGACAATAAGAATACATTCATTGATTCAGCAATCGTGTCTCTGGTGGTGATAGCTGTTGTCATTGGGATTATATTGTCAGCGTATGCATGCTATCGCCGAAAAGTTGCATGTTTCGGAAGAGAATCTATAGAAATCGGAGGTATGCATCAACGCGTGCCTGACTCTATTGCAGTACTTGAAGAAGGGGACCAGGTAAGATACCGTGCGCTTTTGTTCAGGAAGGGTTTATTATAAAGTGTAGATGTTTTGTCAATGAATCAAATAATAACATATAAGAAATAAACAAATACCTTTTATTTATTGATTGTTTGTATCAATACAAACAATAACTACAGCAGTGTAAATGGCTTGTTATTTCTTTTTGTTGGCAAATGATTGTAAAGAAAATTAATAATTTTGTAAGATGATATTTTACTGTAAAAATTGGTTCACAATATAAGTGAGAAGATAACAGTGAGCGCTGTGAAATACGATTTGGGATTTGGGTTTCTGTCTGGACTAGTTTAATCCACTCATTATAATAGGGTCCAAAAAAACCAAAATACGTATTGTTATATTTGTCAGTGAAGACCCCTATGAAGCTATTATATGGTGCTACTGGAAACACTGTGTCTTATTTCTCTATCTCCCATAAAGGTTTAAGTAATAGTATGAAAAACATTTGAGCCGCGTCATGACCAAAGCAACATAGTGCATTTGCGACCAGCATGAATCCAGACCAGCCTGCGCATCGGCGCAGTCTGATCAGGATCCATGCTGTTCGCTATCAGATCCTCTACTTGTTATAGTGTTGGTAAGCAAACAGCATGAATCCTGATCAGACTGCGCGGATGCGCAGGCTGGTCTGGATCCATGCTGGTCGCAAACGCATTACGTTGATTTTGTCATGACGCGGCTCATTTATGAGTTTTAAAACGAGTTTTAATTTGTTTTTCTAGAATATATCACAAGGACCCGTAGACAACCATGAACCGCTACTACCTCCTTCCCAGTCCCCTTCAAATCTTCATGACGAAGGTAAGATAATGTCAATTTACTAATTCGTAGGTATTAAATTTCGTGGTTTTGTCACAAAGGACAGTTTATGTGGGTTTTTTTTAATTCGTGGATTGTCTTTTTTGCAAAGAAATGTAATGTAAAAATATCTTTAGCAGGCTAAATGATTTTTGTCAAATCTTCGATAAGTTGATTGAGTTAAAACCACAAAAATAAGTGCCCAACGAAAAACAATAATTTGGCAGTATGTTATTTTAAATGTTAATTAATAACATGAATAATGCCCCCACTTCAAAGAAGAGGGTGTATATTGCTTTGCATTTGTCGGTCCGCCGGTCAGTAGACCAAATGCTTTCCGAGTGATAACTAAAGAACCCTTAGGCCTAGGAACTTCAAACTTGGAATGGTGATTGGTCATGACCAGAAGATGACCCCTATTGATTTTGGGGTCAAGGGGTCAAAGGTCACATTGACCTTGTAGGTAAAAACGGTTTCCGATCAATAACTAAAGAACCCTTTGGCCTAGGAACTTCAAACTTGGTATGGTGATTGGTCATGACCAGTAGATGACCCCTATTGATTTTCGGTCAAGAGATCAAAGGCCAAGGTCACATATACCTTGTAGGTAAAAACGATTTCCGATCAATAACTAAAGAACGCTTAGGCCTAGGAACTTCAAACTTGGTATAGTGATTGGTCATGACCAGTAGATGACCCCTATTGATTTTAGGTCAATGTGTCAAAGGTCAAGGTCACATTGACCTTGTAGGTAAAATCCGTTTCCGATCAATAACTAAAGAAGGCTTAGGCCTTGGAACTTCAAACTTGGTATAGTGATTGGTCATTACCAGAGTAGATGACCCCTATTGATTTTGGAGGCAAAGGTCAAGGTCCCTTTGACTTTGTAGGTAAAACGGTTTCCGATCAATAACTAAAGAACGCTTATGCCTTGAAACTTCAAACTTGGTTGGTTTAAGATGGTTTCTGACCAATAACTCAACAAGTCAAGTTGCCTTGGTTGATATTTTTATATTAAACTAAAATGCTTTTGGTATACACATTTGAAGGTCTTATGTAATATAACAACTTGGCTGACATTAATGAGGCCTACATGATTCATAAAATGTATGCATATTATATTTGGTAAGATTTGTAATAACTTAAATTGCTACACATAACCTATGGGGTCACAACAATTATTACCTTGTTACTAGTCATGATCAGTAGATAACCCTTATTAATTTTTTGTTCACTGGGTGAGAAGTCATAATAACCTGATCACATGACTAATTGGCTGCCCATAGGGGGCATACATGTTTTACAAACATATCTTGTTCTAATAGGTGTACCTTTTTACAAATTATGATATTTGCTGGTAAACCTGATGATTTCTAGAATATTGTCTTTTCCATCTTCAGCACAAAAATGTTGTAAGCTTAGTATGCTAGAATTAACCTGTCCGTCTGCCTCGCCTTCCGACAATTTGGTAAAGTTAACTTTAAACAAAGTGTCCAACAACATATTTCAGTATCTATAAAAATGTTGTAATTTTCAGAAGCTTGTGCAAGTGGTTGCCAAGGACACTCTGGGCGGTATGTCAATATTCGCCATACTGAGTCAGGATGCGGCATAGAGGAGACAACTGTTTAACTACCAATCATCGTAGGTTTTCGGGAATTTCCGTCAAACTCCGGATTTGGACAACTTTGAAACCAGCGTTTTTTTCTTTCTAAAAGAAGTGACAAACAATTTAATCATACAAATGCAAGAAATGAAATCTGGTTACACGTGACACATTGTCCTAGTGATGGAGTAAATACAGCCGCTTATTTTATTCAGTTATTTAATTTGATGAATTACGATGGGCTTGGATGCTACATTTTGGTGTATTCTTTAATGATTGCTTATTGCAGATTTTTAATATTATTCACTGCAGAACAAAAATATTGCTTACCCACAAGAGAAGAACAGCATAACTATTTACGTGTAAGAACGTTCGCAATAGTATATTTTTGTATAGTTTTACTTATGTAATATCTCCGAAACCGAATACCTTGCCGATTGGATGATTACTGTTTTGTAGCATTTAGTTTACTTGTTATTTCTTTTACTTTTACATTTATATACTATTTTCTATTAAACAAAAATCATGCTTTTTGTTTTTGTTGTTTTCATTGTACTTTTTAATCTTACAACTAATACACTCAAGTTCCATTCCCGCCAACACAGAATTTTTATTAAGATGTAAACTATATTGTGCAAGTAAGTGAATGCATTTCGGGCAGAAAACTCTTCATTTTTATATAATTGTTACTTAAGGCATTATATCCCTTCGTAATAAAGTTATTATCACTTTGATAACGTCATATTGCCAACTATACTTGATGAAAAAGATGCTGAATGCCCGTACGTGGGTTGTTTCAGTCACAAGCAGGTACCCGACAAGGACCACTTATCTTCCGGAAGTCAGCTTAATAGCTTCCATACATGTAATTAACCAAACTCCCTATCGGGATTTGACACCCCCCCCCGCAATAAAATACAATAATTGATCTTAACCACTTAGCCATTAAGGGCCCTTGATGCTCATTGATTCATGACTTTGGCCGCTCAAAGAACACAGCCTTTATACAAAAAAAAATTCCCGTTCATATTCTTAACATAAATTATATCATGTAAACTCGAGTTATTGCAAGGTAGATAATTCTAAATCACTATAATATTTTATGTTATAAGGTTACCTTTCTTACATTATTTGGGGCAATTAAATGTACGGTGTCCTGTTTGGTATATGTATATATATGAATCGCAGGATTTTTACTAAATTCTCACGATGTAACTAGCGAAATTTGGCCGAACGTTTTATGAGTCGCATGTTTAACATTCATCCCCTTTTTGTAACCCTCGTGAGGATTAATCTTTATGTTCCTTGTAAATTAATGGCAAGAATCTAAATTACTATTAACAACTAGGGTTAATTCTTGCGCCGATCTTAAAAAGACTTGCTAGAGTTTTTCTTCTTTTTCTTTTGACTATCACAAGGATTAAAGTTAAACATTCCACTAATTAAACGTTAAATATCTCACATATCAACTGACAACACTTTAACTGGCCCAAACAAGACACCGTTACACACCTGATTTACAAAATAAATAACCATGAAGCTCAACAGATAAAGAGCTACGTCTGAATGGACCTCGGGTTCACGTGTTTGCGACCCCGAGTGTGGAGTATGACTCCAATTAAGATCTCTGAGTCCGAGATTAAAAGGATATTTTCAACACGGGTATTTTATAAGTCAGACAACAGCACAGAATAAACAATGGCAAATAATAACTCAGAAAAAAATCTTATAATCTCAAGGCAATACTAGAGGTATTCGACTTTACCTCAAAATGGTTGCGAACCGATTTGGACAACTGTGAATCCAGCGTTATTTTTTCTTTCTAAAAGAAGTGACAAACATTTGAATCATACAAATTCAAGAAATGAAATCTGGTTACACGTGATACATTGTCCTAGTGATGAAGTAAATACAGCCGCTTATTTTATTTAATTATTTAATGTGATGCATTACGATGGGCTTGAATGCTACATTTTGGTGTGTTCTTTAATGAGTGCTTATTGAAGATTTTTAATATTATTCACTGGAGAATAAAAATGTTGTTTACCCTCAAGAGAAGAACAACATAGCTAATTACCTGTAAAATCTTTCGCAATAGTATATTTTTATTTTTACTTTTGATATATCCGCGAAACCGAATGCATTGCCGATTACAGTTTTAGTGGGATGATTACTGGGATGATTACTGTTTTGTAAGCCGCCTCCGTGGTCGAGGGGTTAAAGTCGATGACTTCTAATCCAGTTACCTCTCTGGCGTGGGTTCGATCCCCGGGAGATGCTTTGGTAGTTTAGCGCGGAGGAAGGTAGTCTAGTACTGGTGTTACTCTCCAGGAACGATGGTTAGGAAACTACCCGCCTATATGACTGAAATACTGTTGGAAAAAGGCGTAAAATGAAACAAACAAACAAACAAAAACTGTTTTGTAGCATTTAGTCTACTTGTTATTTTGTTTATTAATATATATTACATTTTATATATGTATGCACTATTTTCTATAGTAAAATAATCATCATTTTTGTTGTTGTTGTTTGTTGTTGTTTTCTTGTACTTTTTTTACACCGAATACAGTCAAGTTCTATTCCTCCCAACACTGGCTTTTTATTGTGAAATGAGCTGTATTTTGCAAGAAAGTGGATGCATTTTGAGGCGTCAGAATCATGATGTGTTACAAGGCTGATAACTCTTCATATTCATATAATTGTTACTATAGGCATTATATCCCTTCGTAATAAAGTTATTATCACTTGGATAACGTCATATTGCCAACTAAACTTGATGAGAAAGACGTTGAATGCCCGTACATGGGTTGTTTCAGTCACAAGCAGGTACCCGGGAAGGACCACAGAATTTCAGGAAGTCAGCTTAATAGCGCATGCAATTAACCAAACTCCCTATCGGGATTTGACACCCCCCCCCCCCCGCAATAAAATACAATAATTGATCTTAACCACTTAGCCATTAAGGGCCCTTGATGCTCATTGAATCATGACTTTGGCCGCTCAAAGAACACAGCCTTTATACTATAAAAAAAATTCCCGTTCATATCCTTAACATAAATTATATCATGTAAACTGAAACTTCGAGTGTCGAGTTATTGCAAGGGAGATAATTCTAAATCATTATAATAATTTATCTATCTGGGTTACCTTTCTTACATTATTTGGGGCAATTAAATGTACGGTGTCCTGTTTGGTCACTTTATATGAATCGCAAGATTTTTACTAAATTCTCACGATGAAACTAGCGAAATTTGGCCGAACGTTTAATGAGTCGCATGTTTAACATTCATCCCCTTTTTGTAACCCTCGTGAGAATTCTTTATGTTCCTTGTAAATTAATGGCAATAATCAAAATTACTATTAACAACTAGGGTTAATTCTTGCGCCGATCTTGAAAAGACTTGCTAGAGTTTTCCTTCTTTTTCTTTTGACTTTCACAAGGATTAAAGTTAAGCATGCCACTAATTAAACGTTAAATATCTCACATATCAACTGGCAACACTTTAACTGGCCCAAACAAGACACCGTTACACACCTGATATACAAAATAAATAACCACGAAGCTCAACAGATAGAGAGCTACATCTGAATGGAGCTCGGGTTCACGTGTTTGCGACTCCGAGTGTGGAGAATGGCTCGAATTAAGATCTCTGGGTCCGAGATTAAAAGGATATTTTCAACTCAAACTTTGATCTAAGGTCTTAGGTCAAACAACAGCACAGAATAAACACTGGCAAATAATAACTCAAAAAAAATTCTTATGATCTCAAGGCAGGACTAGAGGTATTCGACTTTACTTCAAAATGGTTGCTCAATTAACCGATTTGGACAACTGTGAAACCAGCGTGTTTTTTTTCTTTCTTAAAGAAGTGACAAACGAATGAAATAGAATCGTTGTACGTGATACCTTGTTCTATTGATGGAGGAAATACAGCCGCTTATTTTATTTAATTATTTAATGTGATGAATTACGATGGGCTTGAATGCTACATTTTGGTGTGTTCTTTAATGATTGCTTATTGAAGATTTTTAATATTATTCACTGGAGAACAAAAATGTTGTTTACCCTCAAGAGTAGAACAGCATAACTATTTACCTGTTAAAACTTTCGCAACAGTATAATTTTTTTTTTACTTCAAACCGAATACATTGCCGATTTCGGTTTTAGTGGGGTGATTACTGTTTTGTAGCATTTAGTCTACTTGTTATATATTTTATCAATACATTTATATACTATTTTTTATTGAAACAAAAATCATCCTTTTTGTTGTTTTCTGTTGTTGTTGTTTTTCTTATACTTTATTTTACACCGAATACAGTCAAGTTCTATTCCTCCCAACACTGGCTTTTTATTGTGAAATGAGCTGTAATGTGCAAGAAAGTGGATGCATTTCGGGCCGTCAGAATCATGATGTGGTACAAGGCAGATAACTCTTCATATTTATATAATTGTAGACCTGTAGACATTATATCCCTTCGTTATAAAGTTATTATCATTTGGATAATGTCATATTGCCAACTAAACTTGATGAGAAAGACGTTGTATGCCCGTACGTGGGTTGTTTCAGTCACAAGCGGGTACCCGAGAAGGACCACAGATCTTCAGGAAGTCAGCTAAATAGCTTCCATACATGCAATTACCTAAACTCCCTATCGGGATTTGAACCCACAGTGATGATCTACAATTGATCTTAACCATCCAGCCATGGAGGTCCCTTGTTGCTCATTGATTCATGACTTTGGCAGCTCAAATTACGCAGCCGTTATGCTATAAAAAATTTGCCCGTCCATATTCTAAACGTTATTCTATTACCCGGAATGTAACTTTAACTGAAACTTTAAGTGTAGAGTTATTGCAAGGGAGATATTTCTTAATCATTATATAATTTGTCTTATTAGGTTACCTTTCTTACATTTTTTGGAGCAATTAAATGTACGGTGTCCTGTTTATGTCAGAATATATAACGCAGGATTTTTACTGAATTCTCGCGATGAAACTAGCAAAATTTGGCCGAACATATAAATTGTCGCATGTTTAACATTCATCCCCTTTTCGTGACCTTTGCGAGGATTAATCTTTATGTTCCTTGTAAATTAGTGGCAAGAATCTAATAGAGTTTGTTTCTTCTTTTGATTTTCACATGAACTGTGATTCCACTATCTAAATGTGGATAACTTTTCCTCGCGAGAATTAAGTCAAAATCCCGCTTATCAACTGGCGACATTTTAATTGACCCAAACAAGACACCGTATTTATGTTCTAATTTAAAAAAAAAGAAGAAAATAAAGAAAGAAAGAAAACAATGAAGCTCAACAGATAGAGAGCTAAGTTTAAATGGACGTCAGTTTCTTGTATTTTAGACCCCGAGTGCGACGTAAAGCTCCATTAAAGATATCTTGGTCCGAGATTAAAAAGATATTTTAACCCAAACTTTGATCTCGGGTATTTCATAGATCAGACAACAGCAAAGAATAAGCACTGACAATAGAATTCACAAGTTTAAG